CAGCAAAACTACCTTTTCCAATCTCAGCGGTCCAATTTGGTACTCTAAGCCCATCTACCTTTGAGACTTTGATTTTCGTAGAAAATGTTTACATTTTAAACTGTAAAAAAACATTATTACAATGCAGAGACCTACTAATTGTACTAATTGAAACATATATTGAAAGTTTTTCGAAGATTTCTTTTTATTTGACCTAAATTATGGCATTTCCCATTTAAAATTAATTTTCTACAATGTCTTTCAAATCCGTCGTTCATCTTTCTTCTTCTACCAGGTATTGGATCTGCTTCAATTGTACCTTTTTCTCCTTTTTTTTTTTAAAATTTTTTTAACTGTAGACTTTCTGCACTCTAATATTTCTGCAACTTTTAGACGACTTTTTCCATCTTCATGAAGTTTTAAAATCATTTTTCTTAACTCTAAAGAAAGTTTCATTATTGTTTTTTTTTGTATTTTTTATGAATATTCTTTCCTATTTGTTTTTTAAAAAAATTTAAAAAAAAAATTAAAATTTATTAAAAAATTGAATTATCTTGTCAAAAATTTAGACCCCATTTTCCATTAGAGATTAAAAATCTTTATTCTCAGTTTTTACCCATTATCGTTATCTTATTCATTTAAAAATTTTTTTTAAAAGTTATCTCTTTTTTTTATAAAAAATTATCTCTTTTTTTAAAAAAAATTATTCATTTTTATCGATTTTGAATTTTATTAATTACAATATTTTTATTTTCCTTTCAAAAACCTTCACAAAACCATATTGATACTAACACTAATATTATGATGCTATTTTTCACTTGTGTTGATGCTTATATTCACACCTCTTTAATAATAAAATGACAATATTAAATTAGTGTAATATACGTATTTATAATTATATTTATTTTAGTTAAACTAAAACCTCAACAAATCCAAATCAAAAAAAAAAGGTAGAATTTTTTTTTTACAATTATTTTTTTTAAAAAAAACATATTATTCTACACATTTTCTAAATTAGCTCTATTAATAGACCCAAAAAATAACTAGAATGCATCAACGCTAGGTTTTACAATGCTTTTTAATCTTTCGTTTTTCTTTCTTTTTTTTTTTTAAAAGCAAAGTTTTTTTTTTTTTTTTTTTCATTCTAGTTAATATAAAATAATTTCTTAAACCTTCTAATGTTACCCATAAAAGATTCTACCATTGAAAGTAAAGTTTTTGTAAAAAAAAAAAAAAAAATTGTTAAAATAAAATTGAAAATATTTTATAATTTTATGAATTATTATCCTTTTTTTATCTTTTTTTTTTTTTTTTTTTATCCACTTATATCCTTTTTTTTTAAATCTTCCCAGGGATACCAAAAAAGGATTAACGATAAAAGATAATTTTTATAAAAAAAAAAAAAAAATTAAAAAAAAGGCGGAAAAGAGAAAAATTGTGATGGGTGTGTTTGTGCTGTTATTTTACATCTATTTGCAAATTTTAAAAATCGATAAAAATGAATAATTTTTTTTAAAAAAAGAGATAATTTTTTTTAAAAAAAGAGATAACTTTTAAAATTTTTTTTTAAATGAATAAGCTAACGATAATGGGTAAAAACTGAGAATAAGGATAATTTTTATTCACTAATAAAAACTAATTTAGCTATTAAAATTTATTTATTAAATTATTATTTAATTATATTTATAATTTACTTATTAAAATATTGGTTGTTTTTTTTTCTTTTTTAAATTTTGAATTTTATTAATTATAATATTTTTATTTTTCTTTCAAAAACCTTCACAAAACCATATTGATACTAACACTAATATTGTGGTGCTATTTTTAACTTGTGTTGATGCCTATATTCACACCTCTTTAATAATAAAATGACAATATTATATTTCAAAAAAAAAAAAAAACTCATATTTTTATTTAAAAAAAACATTATAATGCCATTCATTGTTTTTATTTTTTCGTACATCACCATTAATCTAAAAATATAATATAAAATTATAATCATTTTAAATACTAAAAGCGAATATAATATTATTTTCATTTTTATTAATAAAAACCTCAACCAATACAAAACCAAAACAAAAGGTCGAATTATTGTTTTTTTTTTGTTTTTTTTTTTTCAAAAAAACAATAATCAACATTAAATTATAATATACGTATTCATAATTATATTTATTTTTAATATGTATGTATTTATTTTAGTTAAACTAAAACCTCAACAAATCCAAATCAAAAAAAAAAGGTAGAATTTTTTTTTTACAATTATTTTTTTTAAAAACATATTATTCTAAAATAACTAGATTGCATCAACACTAGGTTTTACAATGCTTTTTAATCTTTCGTTTTTCTTTCTTTTTTTTTTTAAAAGCAAAGTTTTTTTTTTTTTTTTTTTCATTCTAGTTAATCAATATAAAATAGTTTCTTAAACCTTCTAATGTTACCCATAAAAGACATCGTCTAAAAGACTCTACCATTGAATCGTGTAATCTTCTCAAAGAATGGAATCGTCAAATTCAAGATGTTGTATATGATATTCTCAATAAAAAAAAGGATGGAAGAGTTCACAACAAGCGTGATAATAATAATAATCATTTTTTCTTATAATAATAAAAACCTTTGTATATTTTCAATTTTATTTTAACAATTTTTTTTTTTTTTTTACAAAAATATTTTATAATTTTATAAATTATTATCCTTTTTTTATCTTTTTTTTTTTTTTTTTTATCCACTTTTATCCTTTTTTTTTAAATCTTCCAAGTGATACAAAAAAGGATAACGATAAAGATAATTTTCAATCACTAGTTTTTATAGTTAAATTAAATAAAGAAAATAAATTATTTCTTAATCGATAAAAACAATAATAATGGAATCTATTCTGGCAATATTAATTAAAAACTATTATTATAATTTTTAATAATCTTTTTTTTCATAGAGTGTGGTAAATTTGATTTTTTTTAATTTTTTTTTTTTTTTTTTAAATTAATTTATTCACACCTTTCTTTAACTAATAACCTTAATTAAAAAATGGACAATTATGTAGTTTTATTTCATTATCACAGTAGCTGTTTCAATCTTTTTTGGTATGGGTTTAAATGATTATTATTTCAACAATGACAATGGCAATGGCAATCATCACCCAAATATGCCACAATTCTCAAGCACAAATACAATAGAGAAAGAATTGCAACAAATGTTACCAATACAACAAAAAGAACAACAAAAAATGGAAAAGCAAAAAGCAATTGCAGAATTAATACGTCTAAGAGAGTTAAAATTACAAAGACAAAAATTATTTGAATAGAAACAATGATTTAAATCAAGAAGTTCACCACAATTCTTTTTTTTTTTTTTTTAAAAAGTGAAGATAATTAAAAGGAAATGCTTTAAATTAATCAGTAAAGCTTTAAATTAATCAGTAAAATCCACAACTCGATGACCCAACGTATTATCAACAACCGCCATATGCTCACGCGTGAATCAATTGAAAAATCACTTGGAAGATAAAATATATTAAAAGAAGGACCCTACCAGGATTGAACTGGTGACCAAACGATTTGCAGTCGCATACTCTACCACTGAGCTAAGAATCCATCTGTTGATCCTGACTGTCAAATGGCGCTTTCCACAATAATTTTTCAAAATTACTAAAAATTCTTTTAAAAATAAATTAATAAAAGTCGTGTTAACCTTTGCACCATTCTTATTGAAGGGGTAGGTCAAAAAATCGTGGTTAGCAATTAATACAAAAAACATAATAATTTTTCTGTGAATAGAAGTCAAAAATTTCCTTAGATTATTTTTTATTATTGGTAAAGATTTAATAGCAATTATAAAACATTCATTAGGAATAAAAAATAATAGGGAAAATTATGATATTAGTTATATCAATAATTTAAATAATAATAAGAATAATAGAAATATTAAAAAAAAAATACGACGATATAGCTTTCGATACTGATGAAGGCTATGATTATGATCCAAACAAAATTTTATATGATCATGATCAGGGCTTTACAGAGAAAGTGATGGAGTTCAAACTTGAACTAAGAAAGATATCATATGATACAGATAATGGTTATGAAGAAGTAATAAAACATGACCTTTATTTTTATGATTATGGCTACCACTTAATTAAAAAAAGAAGATGTTCCACAACACAATTATTTAGGTAATTATAAAGATTTTAATTGCATAATTATTATTATCTTTGAATATAATAGAAACTAATATTTAACTTTAATTCTTAATTAGTTTAATTCATTATTTTCAGGTCTTGTTTCAAATCACACTTTTCATTGAAAAGCTCGCAATCATATCACCACCATCACCACTTAAGGATTTCCAGTTATTTTAGAAAAGGGTCCCATTCAGGCTTTTCATTTAAAAGTTAACAATTCACCACCACTTCAATCCTATTCAATTCAAATCTATCTTAGTAGATCAAAAATTATTATTTAAATTTAAATTTAATAAAAAAAAAAAAACTTAAAAGTAAATTAATAAAAGTTATATTGAAATTATTAATTAATGAATAAATGAAAAAAAAATTAAAATAAGAATAAACTTAGACTAACTCTGATATATTTGTTTTTTTAAAAAGAGAGAAGTATACTTTAAATTAATAATTTTGATAATACTTTTATTAAAAAATATATTTTTAAATTTTTATTATTTCATTATTTTTTTATAAAAAAAAAAAAATTTCTTTTTTTTAAATTAACAAAGGCAATATAAAAAATAATTATGATTATTTAAAAATCAATTAATAAAAAAATATAATTAGTTAATCAATAATTTCAAAATATAATCAATATAAAAGGAATTATAATTTCATTCCTTACATTTAATGAAAAAGGCCCAATTAACGAAATTTTTTGGTAATGAAAATTATAGTTTTTTTTTTGTGCGGATGATCCGCATTTATAAATTTATTACTCTTTTGATTTTACTATATTTTTTATAATAGTGTGGATCTATATAAATTAATTACTCTTTTAATTTTACTACTGTAAGTTTTTTTAATTCATATGTAAACTGTGGTTATAACCCCCATTTCTTTTTTAATCACTTTAGATTCATTTCTTTTTGTGGTAAATTTCATTTTTAATTTTTTTTAAATTTAATATTTTAATTTTAATTTTTTATTTTTTATTTTTTTAATTTTCATTTTCATTTTCATTTTTTTATTTTTTAATTTAAAAATTTTTTTTTTTTTTTTTTTCTTTATTTTATCAATATACTTATAATTATATATTTATTTATTTTTTATAGTATTCTATTCAATAAAAAAATTTAATTTCACCAATATTTTTTTATAATAATATAATAATCAACACCACCAAATAAATCAACCACTCTTCATTCTAATACAATAATGGATTTTGTTTTTATCTTTTTTGTTGCAGTAATTAGTTTTTTACTTGGTTTTATTTATAATAGTGTAGCCAAATATGTACAATTAAAAAATCAACTACAAGCCAAAAAAGAATTGGAAAAAGATCAACTATTTAAGATCTCAAATTTAAAACATCAAATTAAAAAATTTGATTTAGAAAAAAAAATCCAACATGATCAACTATCAATTCAATCAAAGAAACAAGAAATCGTTGATCAAATAAATAAAAGTGAGCATGTTAAATTAAATAATACTATAGATGACCAATCAAATGAAATTGGGCAATTATTTAGTTTAATAAACCAACAAAAACAATCAATTCACGCCCATGGTATAAAACAAGGAAAATTGGTCGAAGAAAGAGACTCACTTAAGGTTAAATTAGAGGATCAAATTATAAAGTCTAATGAACTTCAAGAGAAAATATTAGAAAAAGAGAGAATTATCCAAATGGTCGAAAAAAAGATTGAGGTAGAGCAACAGGTTTTACTCCAGCTCTCAATTGAAAATAATGAAGAATTGGAAAAATTAAATTTTAAAGAGGGTCAATTAGAAGAAAATAATATGAACATTAGAGAACAGGATCCATTCGATAGAGAGCCAATAGATATGGATGCAAATAGCGAAATTTCAGATATTGATTCAAATTCAAATTGATGGCGATAAAATTAATAATTTAATATCTTCTTTCAATTTTCTTTATGAAATTGAGGAAGAATTAATTATTAACTATATTGTTTCAATCGATGTTTCAAATTCATGATTTCGGTAAAGCTGAAAACAGCTAACAAGTGTACCATCAAAGAAATGATCAAATATTTTTCAAAATTTTTAAGACTTATTTCATTAGTTTCAGTTCAAAATGTTCTTGTTTCAAATTCTTCATTTAAAAGCTCATTCAATTAACCACCAGCACCACTTGGGGATTTCAATTCCAATTATTTTAGAAAAGGGTCTCATTCAAGATTCTCATTTAAAAGCTCACAATTCACCACCTCTGCCACCACCACAATCCTTCAATGGAACCACCATCATAGTTTTTACAGAATAATTCAATGAGTAGGAAATGTTATAAATTAGTGTTTAGCACAGATTCTCCCAGTCAAAAGCAATCATACAGAATGGATTTTTTAAACCATTAAAATATTTTTAAAAACTAGTCAATACAAATCTATCTTATTAGATCAAAAATAATTTAAATTTAATAATAAAAAGATGTAAATAACTTATTTCTAGAGTTCGAAAATTATCGTTATCTCTATTTTTACCGATTATCTTAATCGTGTTCATTATCCATTTTTTAAAAAAAAAATTATCCTTTTTTTATCTTTTTTTAATTTTTTATTATCCACTTTTATCTTTTTCTATATTTCCTAGGGTAGAAAATTTAGTTTATTTTTTGAAAAAAAGGGGTTTCTAAGTTCGGGGTCAATAAGTTCCATTTTTAAAGTCAATTTCTAAGTATAAAAAAAAACATTTATAGAAATTTTATTTATTTATTTTTGTTTTAAAATTTTAATATTTATATTTTATTTAATGGTGATGAATTATTACTGCTATTATTGTGATTCGAATGTGACGAAAGTATTGGTGATGAAGTACAGGAAGGATTGTTACTGTTGGAGTCTGCAAAAGAGAATGTTGATGATGATGGTGAGGGCGATGATATAGTTGTTAAAGAAGAGGAAGGAGACGATGAGCTGTTTTGTTTTTTAAGAATATTGTTACAATATAATTTAGATTCATATTTTAAAAGTTGATCTCTAAAACCTGGGTTTGGTAAAATTTGTGGACGCTTTAATTGAACAAAATCGGAGGCTTGTTTAAAGGTCATTTGATGATACCTCATAAGATATGATAGAATTAATGTTGAACTTCTGGAAATACCAGCTCTACAATGAACCAATACGCCACCTGACCTTCTACCCTGTTCAATGAAGCAATTGGTTTGCTCAAAGTGTTGGCTAATATCATAATTTGGAGTATCTCTGGCGTCATCGATTGAATAGTATTTGAAATTTTTTGGGAAAAATGGTTCACAATCACCAATTGCAAGAACAATATGAGTAATACCTAGTGCTGCTAAAATGGGAGCATTATTTGCGCTATCAAGACCACCTAAAAATACACCTGGAATAATTTCAGATGGAATTGATGTAATAAGTGTAAAATTTGATTCCACCTGTTTATATTCTGCTGGTATGGTTGGTAACTCTCTATTATCACGTATATTTAATTCTTTTAATACACCTAATCCACCACCTTCCAACTCTGTCAATGTTAAAATTTCTAAAATATTACTATTACTATTACAACTATTTGGTCTATTTATTAAATCTATATTACCACTATTTCTTATATTACTGCCATTTTGTTTTTTTGGTACTAAATATGCAAAATCTTTTGGTAAACTTGATAGTTTATTGGATGATATATCAAACATTTCTAAATTTACTAATTTTTTTGTTGATGGTAAACTTGAAATCTGATTATTTGATAACCAAACCATTCTAATAATAATAATAAAAAATTAATACTTTTGTTAATATATATTTATTTTTTATTTTATTTTATTTATTATTTATCTGTACTTACTGCAAATTAATTAAATCTTCAAAATTGTTTGGTAAAGACTTTAATCTATTTTGTGACATGTCCATTGTTACTAGTTGTTTTAAATTTGTAAAACTATTTGGTAAAACCTCTAATAAATTATGTTTGAGTGATAAAAATTTTAAACTTGTTGAACAACCAATTTCTTCAGGTAAACAATTTATACTAGTAATAATAAAAAAAAAAAAAAAAATTAAAATTTTAATTTAAAAATTAAAAATTTAAATATTATAAATAAATAATTACCCATTTCTATCTAATATAAGTGTTGTTAAATTTGGTAAATCTGTAAAAACATTTGATGGAATTTTTGTAATTTTATTTTTTGATAAATTAACGCTTGTTAGCGATTTGACCAAGTTTATATCTGGAATGACATGGAAGAAATTTGTAGATAAACAAAGCTCTTCAATTCCAAATGTATTCATAATTGAAAGAATTTCGTTTGGTATATGTTCTAATCTGTTAATACTTAAATCAACAGAATAAATTTTTATATCTGATTTTATATTATTTATTGAAATCTGATTATTGTTTACATTTTCTTTTTTATCTTTTCGTTCTTTTCTTGATTTTTGTTTTGGTGTGGATGATGGTGTAGATGATGGTGTTGATTGTGCAGATGGTGTTGGTGTTGGTGTTGGTGTAGGTGCTGGTGATTCTGCTGTGCCTTTATTTATTGCGGCTGCACCATTTTCTTTTGCTTTTTCCTCATTATTAAGCTCTTCATTGAATTTATCGATAGTTAACTCTGGATTTAATTGAAATTCGCTTTGATGTCTTTTTGAAAGTGATGAAGATGGTGATGGAACTGGGGATGATTGTAAAAAACTTGTATTTTCTTCTTTTGATTCTAATGTAGTTGAATTATCAGTGGTACCATCATTTGTATTAGCGGTATTTATAGAGTCACTGCTATTATTACTATTGTTATTATTGGTGCTGTTATTATTACTATTGTTATTACCAATACCACCACTATTATTTAATTGTGATTTTTTTGGCAATTTATTTTTAAAGAAATCACTATTTACTAATGAATCTGCTGAAACAATTTCATAACTTTCAAAATAAGCTGAAAACAATTGAGTTTTTAATTTTTTAAAGTTTCTATTCTTATAATCAATATGATATTTCCCATCCAAATCCACAATCATATTTATCTCTGATACCCCATCACCACCATTATTGTTATTATTTGAGTGTGTATTACCCATATATTTTTAGAAACTATAAAATTTAATAATTAATCTATATTTATTTGGATGAACAAAAAAAAAAAAAAAACAATTGTTTTTATTTCTACCAATACAAATTTTATTTTTGTTTGTTTGGGGGGTTAAAAGATTTTTTTATTATTTTTTTTTTGTTAAAATGCAAAAATTATAAAAAAAAATTATAAAAAAAAAAATAAAAAATAAAAAATAAAAAAAAAAATTCTTTTTAAAAAATTTTTTTAAGGGCAAAAGAAACCATAAAGAAACCGACTTTTTTTTATGCAGCATCTAAATTTAAACCAAGATAATCGTGCAAAGTTTTACTTTGAATATTACGATGGACTGTACCAAAACAAAATAATTATTTTATGAACACAATATTTAAATAAAAATAAATAAATTATTTTAATTTCTAAACAATAAACAATAAATAAAAAATAATAAAAAAATGATAAATATAAAAAAAAAATATCCTATTTTTTATAAAAAATTATTATAAAAAATTTCTTTGAAAGATTTTTTTTTTTTTTTTTTTTTTTTTTTTTTAATATATATGTATATTTTAAAAATATTGAATTTTAAATTTATTTTTTTTTAATGAAGGAAAATAAAATTTTTTTTTTTTTTGTAAATATTATACATGTAAATTATAATTAAATAATTACTAAAAATTAAATTATTATATTATAAAAGAATAACCATAATATAAATATATCTATTGTAAAAATATATATTTAAAAGGGATCGAAGGAGGGTTATTATATAAGTTCTTTAAAAACCATTGTTATTTGCCAAATAT